TAATCCCATAGATCAACAGAACAGGATAGAGAGCCTGGAAACAGACCCCCATAAATATAGTCAACCGATCTTTGACAAAGGAGCAAAGGCAAAGTAATAGAGAAAAGATACTTTTCAGCAAATGGTGCTGAAACAACTGGACGTCCACACGCAAAAAAATGAATATAGACACAGATGTCACCTTCTCCACAAAAGTTAACTCAAAATAGATCACAGATCTAAATTTAAAACACAAAACTATAAAACTCATAGAAGATAACATAGGAGAAAATCTAGATGATCTAGAGTTTGGTGGTGATTTTTTAGATACAACACAAAAGGCATGATCCATGAAAGAAAGAATTGATAAAGTGGACTTCATTAAAATTAAAAACTGCTCTCAGAAAGACACTGTCAAGAGAATGAGAAGACAAGACACATACTGGAAGAAAAGACTTACAAAAAACATATCTGATAAAGGACTGTTTTCCAAAATATACAAAGAATACTTTAAAGTCAACAATAGAAAAACACCAATTAAAAAATGAGCCAAAGACCTTAATGGACACCATGCCAAAAAAGATACAGATGGAAAATAAGCATATGAAAAGATGCTCCACATCATATGTCATCAGGAAAATGCAAATTAAAATGATAATGAGATATCACTAGACAACTATTAGAATGGCCAAAATCCAGAACACTGGCAACACCAAATTCTGGCAAGGAAGTGGAGCAAGAGAAACTTTCATTCATTGCTGGTGGGAATGTAACATGGAAACACCACCTTAGAAGACTGTTTGGCAGTTTCTTACAAAACTAAACATACTCTTACCATATAATTCAGCAATCATGCTCCTTAGTATTTAACCCATAGAGCTGAAAACTTATGTCCATGCAAAATCCTGCACATGGATGTTTTTAAGTTTTATTCATTATTTGCCAAAACTTAGAAGCAACAAATATGTCCTTTAGTAGGTGAATGTGTAAATAAACTATGGTACATCCAGGCAATGGAATATTACTCAGTGCTAAAAAGAAATGAATTATCAAGCCATGAAAAGACATGGAGGAAACTCAAATGCATAATACTAAGTGAAAGAAGCCAATCTGAAAAAGGTGCTACCTGTTGTATTATTCCATGCTACAGGACACTCTAGAAAAGGCAAAATATGGAAACATTAAAAAGATCAGTGGTTTACAGGAGTGGTGGGAAGGAGGGATATAGGTGAAACATACAGGATTTTTAGGGCAGTGAAAATACTCTGATAGTATAATGATGGATACATGTTATCATAAATTTGTCCAAACCCATAGAATGTACAACACCAAGAGTAAACTTTAACGTAAATTATGGACTTTGGGTGATAATAATGTGTCAGTGTAGGTTTGTCAATTATAACAAATGTACCACTCTGGTGGGGATGTTAATAATGGGAAAGGCAGGGAAGTATATGGGAAATCTCTGTACCTTCTATTCAGTTTTGCTGTGAACATGGAACTGTTCTAAAAATAATTAGGTATATATGTGTGAATGGATGTAAAATAATATCTATGAAATACTTAAAGAAACAAGTTTAAAACTATATAATGAATCTATTTTTTATTTTAAAAACACCCCCCAAAGTATATATATTTTTTATATACTATATAAAAACCATACACACACACTAACATACACACAGTGCCTATAAAAAATATCTGGAAAGATATAAACATCAAAAAATTACTAGTGCCCAAATTATGGCCTACAAATATCATTTCCCTCAGTAAGATACTAGATGCCCTACACAAATGGCTAATACATGCCTACATGGGGCAGTAAATACAGAAAATGAAACTGGTACAACTTGTCATATCAAACAGCAAGGTAACTATCAAAGACTACTAGGATCATGTCAAAAGGACTTAAAAACTAACTTGAAGAAACTTTTAATGGCCCAAAATAAGACAGTTGGAGAAATTATAACTGAAATGAAGCACTCAAGTTTAAATCCATGTCATATAAGCAAGCAAACAAACCAACCCAAACAATTGATCAATCACCACTGAAGGATGCTAGGGAACACTTTCTTTTTTGGTTTTTTTGAAACCAAGAAATAAAGGAAAAGACTCAAACATTTATCCTACTTTTCCTTTATGAACTGTACCATTAGGTAACTAATCAGTAAATGAGAAGTTTTTCTTTATAGAAGTATTCCAGCTAAAAATGAAGAATGATAGAAGCTCAATATAACCACACAGTAACCCCTAATGAACCAAACACCTAGGTATTGAGCATAAGTGGCTGCTAACATCAGAAAAGAAAAAAAAAAAAAAAAGAGATAAGCAGACACTATGTCTCTCTGATATAAGAACACAGCACCACTTAAGAATTGCCAAATAAATAAATAAATAAATAAATAAATAACTTGAACATGAATCTAACCAAGCCTCTAGATCCAAACACTAATTTACAGTAAATACAGAGGGTACAGCAAGTTATAGTACACCATGACAGACAATCAACAAAATACCAATCTTGGAAAACGCTACAGGACAAAAATACTGGTTTCTTTAATTTAAAAAAAAAAAAGCAAGAAGAAAAAGAGGAGGGACAGACATTGGGAGAAAGACGGAGGAAGGCAGGATGATAGAGGTGAGAAACGGAAGATGGAAAGAAGGAAAGGAGGGAGAGAGAAGGAGGGAAAGAAAGGGGGGCAAGATGAGAAAGGAGGGAATTAGAGAGGAAGGGTGAGAAAAATAGATGAGAGAGAGAATTCCTACGAGAGATGAGTTGGGAATCTATACACTTAAAAGATATAAACCAATCACACACGTGGGCCTTATTTGGATCCTGATTAAAAAACAATTTATAAAAAAAACATATATTAGGTAACCAGAAATCTGAACACTGACTGGATATTTGATAATATCAAAAAACTTTAATTATTTTAGATGTGATGATGATATTGTCATTATGTTGTAGCAAAAAATAATTATCTTATTTTGCTATATATCCTGCAATAGCTACAGATGAGATGATAGAGTTGTGGATTTGCTTCAAAATAGAAACTAAGAGGAGGAAGAAAATGGGGGTTTGGCCATGTGGTGATGTAGTTGGGAGCAGAAAACGGATAAGGGTGCTTCATTATGCTATTCTGTCTGCTTTACATATGTCTGAAATTGTCCATAATAAAAAGGTTTAAAAAATATTACTAGTTACCTTGGGATGTGAAAAGAAGTTTAGGGAACTATTTTTTTTTCCCTCCATTGATATATAAGCAATAAAATGAACAGTTGTTAATGAAAAATCTTAACAGAAATGATAGAAGATGTTAATGAAGATGCTGCCAAGATGTTAGGTCCCAAAATAGCCAATAATATTTTGTCAGACATGGATAAATAATTTATGCTTGCATTCACTTATTCGGAAGGTTCTAAGACTACAAACTTTAATCCATATTTAAGTAAAGCTGACTTCCTGTGTAATTTAAGCTTTCTCTGTACCTTGAAAGTATCCTGCCAAATACTTGCATGAGTTCTATTGAGACATACTGATTTTAAAAACATATTTTTACCACCTATGAAATTTACTTTTTTTGTAATTTCAATAGTGTGTTAGTGACTTGAATTTATTTGTTAGTCAGAAAGTAGTGATTTACAACTCAGGTTTATTCTCAGTCTCACAACTTTAAATGGCATCTATATACCTGTGACTCCAAAATATTTATCTCCAGCCCAGACCTCTGTCTAGAACTCCAGAGTCAGACATTAACTGTCTACTGGTACATCCATCTCTACTTTGATTTCTAATAGGCATCTCAAACTTAATATCTCTTTACTTGCCCCTCAAACCTTCTCATTCTATCGTCTCCCTGTTCTGCTAGACAACTCCATCCTCTAGTACAGGTAGTGTTCAGGAACACGGACTTGGGTACCATAGTGCTCTGGATTTGAATCCTGACCCCACCACTAACTAGCTGTGTGCCTTTGGATAAACTACTTAACCTTTCTATTCCTTAGTCTATTTATGGTCAAAATAGTTACTTATAGTACCTACCTCTTAGGGTTGTCGTTGGGAGAAATAACACTTCCTGTGTGCTAGGCACTGAGTACCTTACAACAGATTGTCATCATCACCATTGCTGTTATTGTAGTTTTTCAGGTGAAAAACCTCGGAATTACCTTCAACTATTCTCTTTCTCTCACCTTCCCGGTCAAAGCACATCCAGATTCCAATCCCTCCATAAAGCACTTCCACCAGAACCATGCTGACCCTGCTGCCAGCACTGCTCTTTCAGATTACAGCAACGGCTCACAAGAGGGTCTCGCTGCTTCTGGCCTTGCTCTTTCCCACAGCAGAGTAATTCTTTTAAAATGTAACTGAGACCATGGCACTCCTCTGCTCGAAACCCTCTAATGACTCCCCACTTCAGTATAAAATCCCAGATCTTTACAATGGCCCACAAGACCTCTCCCGACCTGGCACTGGCTCCCTCCCACCCTCCTCTCCAACCTCACCCCTACTCCTCTCTCTTACTGCTTCCCACTCCTCATATGTGTTCCTGCCTCAGGGTCTGTGCACTTGCTTTTCCCTTTTTCTGGAAAGTCTTCACCCAGATGCCTACATGGCTTCCTCCGTTACCCTTTTCAGGTATTTGCTCAAATGCCACAACACTCCCTATTTCACTTTTCTGCTCGACCTTTTTTTTGTAGCACTTATAACTTTCTAACGTATTACATTATCTACTTATTTGGTCTGCTTAGTATATGGTTCCTCTCACTTGAATATAAGCTTCTTGAGGGCAGGGGTATTTGTCCATTTGCCTAAAAAGACCATCTGTCTTAGAACAGGTATTCAGATATTTATGCACATTAATAAATTCCATTTTTAAAAGCAATATGATTTTAAGTGATTCCTCGATTGTTTGAAAAAATCAAATTAAAGCTTAAGACAAAAAAAATGCACACAGATTTTCCTTTTTCTTCAAAATTATAACCCAGATCCAAAGATATTTGTGTTATGTTTTTTACTTAACCTTTGTGCCGTCTCAATGGTCTGGTCCCAGTCCTGCAAGGCTAGCTGTAATTTCATTTTCTTTACCAAAGCGGGAAGGAAGCTTGGAAAGTTCACAATTATCTGGTTCACAGTCTCCAGGGCACCTGAATAATTTTGGTGCATCTCAAGGCATTGTGCCTAATGGGAGAAAAAAATTGACACCAAACTGTGATCTTACATATCAAGGTTCTCATAAGCTGGAATAGGTAGAATACTAGTATTTAATATTTTCTGACTTTTCATTAAGGAATAATTATCCTTTATAATGAGAAAAAACAAAATAAGTTTTTATCAAAACTTTTTAAAGTCAGAGAATAAAAAATATTTTACATAAAAAATTTTCTTTTATAATCCACTTTTAGTAGCTGATAAATACGATTACAGAATAAAATTTTAAAAAATATTTTAAAAAACAACATAAAGACTGGTTGTATTTAGAATAGAAAAATTACCTTTTTAAAAAGAAATATTTCCTGGGGATTTTAGAGATTTTGTATCTTTTTTAAAAAATTACTTTCAGGTTAAATATTATTTTAAAGCACAAACAAAATAAAGTTCAAACAACTCCCTCTACCTAAACATTTTCACTTCTAGTTACTATCTTAAGAAAATAATTGGATCCATATTTTGGCTATTGTTAATAGAGCCGCAGTCAACATGGGAGTGCAGGTATCCCTTCGACATGATGATTTCCATTCCTTTGGGTATATACCCAGAAGTGGGATTCCTTGATCATATGGCAGTTCTATCTGTAGTTTCTGAGGAACCTCCATACTGTTTTCCATAATGACTGCACTAATTTACAGTCCCACCAACAGTGTACAAGGGTTCTCTTTTCTCTGCATCCTCACCAGCATTTGTTATTCTCAGTCTTTTTAATAATGGCCAGTCTAACTGAGGTGAGATGCCATCTCAATGTGGTTTTGATTTGTATTTCCCTGATGATTAGTGATGTTGAGCATTTTTTCATGTACCTGTGGGCCATCTGTATGTCTTCCTTTGAAAAATGTCTATTCAGCCCCTTTGCCCACTTTTCAATTGGATTATTTATTTATTTTTTTTTTACTGTGAAGTTGTTTGAGTTCCTTATATATTCTGGATATTAATCCCTTGTCGGATATGTAGTTTAGAAATAGTTTCTCCCATTCTGTAGGTTGTCTTTCCACTCTGTTGATTGTTTCCTTTGCTGTGCAAAAGCTTTTTAGTTTGATATAATCCCATCTGTTTATTTTTTCTTTTGTTGCCTGTGCTTTTGGGGTTTTATTCATAAAGTCTTTGCCCAGTCCTACTTCCTGGAGTGTTTCCCCTATGTTTTCTTTTGGGGTTTTATTCATAAAGTCTTTGCCCAGTCCTACTTCCTGGAGTGTTTCCCCTATGTTTTCTTTTAGTAATTTTATGGTTTTGGGTCTTATATTTAAGTCTTTAATCCATTTTGAGTTGATTTTGGTAAATGGTGAGAGATACAGGCCAGTTTCATTCTTCTGCATATGGATGCCCAATTTTCCCAGCACCATTTATTGAAGAGGTAGTCTCTTCCCCAATGTATATTCTTGTTGCCTATGTCAAAGATCAGTTGGCTGTAAGTATGTGGATTGATTCCAGGTTTTCTATTCTGTTCCATTGGTCTGAGTATCTGCTTTTATGCCAGTACCATGCTGTTTTGGTTACTATAGCTTTGTAATATAATTTGAAGTTGGGTAGTGTTATGCCTCTGGCTTTACCTCTTTTGCTTGGGATTGCTTTGGCTATTAAGGGTCTTTTGTTGTTCCATATGAATGTTAGGACTGTTTTTTTCTATTTCTGTGAATAATGTCATTGGTATTTTGATGGGGATTGCATTGAATCTATAGGTTGCTTAGGGTAGTATGGAGATTTTCACAATGTTAATTCTTCCAATCCAAGAGCACGGAATGTCTTTCCACCTTTTTGTGTCCTCTTTAATTTATTTCAGTAGAGTTTTGTAGTTCTCACTGTAGATATCTCTCACCTCCTTGGTTAAATTGATTCCTAGGTATTTTAATTTTGGTGACTATTGTAAATGATTTTACTTTCTTGATTTCTTTTTGTGCTAGTTCATTATTGGAGTATAAAAACGCTACTGGTTTTGGGGTGTTGATTTTGTACCCCGCAACATTATTGAAATTGTTAATCAGCTCTAAGAGTTTTTTGGTAGGGTCTTTATGTTTTTCTATAGATGACTGGATCACAGATGACTGGATAAGGAAAGTGTGGTATATATACACAATGGAATACTACTCAGCCATAAAAAAGAATGAAACATGGAGCAACAAAACATGGAGCACAAAGCAGCAACATGGATGAGTGTGGAGAAAATTATGTTAAGTGAAATAAGCCAGACACAAAAAGAAATACTACATGGAAGGAAGGAAGGAAGGAGGGAAGGAGGGAGGGAGGGAGGGAGAGAGGGAGAGAGAGAAAAGAAAAGATAAATGAAAGAAAGAAGGAAACGATCACAATAATACATTAAACTTTCAGAAGGAGAGAACAAACCTAAGGATACTAGAGATTGGGGAATGGAGGGGGTTGGAGCATGATTGGTTGAGCATGATTGGTTGAGCAAGGGGCATGAAAAATAATTATGATTTGTAAAAATGAATATACTCATAATAAAAGAATAAAAAAAGAAAATAATTGGAGAAGATCACAAGGAAACATGTAGGTGTTATTTGTGATAGAATTTTTTGTTTATAATAAAAAAATTAAAATAACCCCAAATGTCCACAGAAGAGTAACTAAATTATAGTATATCAATTCAATAAAACTTTAGGTAGTCATTAGAAGTAATTATGCAAATACGTAGCTCTCTATTTACTAAAATGATTAAATGTCATATATAATAGTTTAACTTGTTATTTACAGTGGTGATACTTATTTTCTCATTCAAATATTAATATAACTTCTGAATTTTTAAAAATAATGTCCATGTATTACTTTTACAGTCAGAAAAAATAAAGCTAGAAATACAGTTAGTAAATTAGAAACAGATAATGAAGCACACTTATCACTTATCAGGAATAAATTTAGTCCTAGTGTATCTCAGTTAAAAATGAGCATTCAATCTAAATAGATCTGTAGTAAAACTGCGATACCTGAAATCAGTTTGAGATTATACTCCCATATAATTAAAGGAAAGTATGAGAACCACCCAAAGATGCCACTATGTCAGAACAAATTAGTATTTAAGTTTCTAAATAATAGACAATTGTAAAGAGATTAATGTAGATATTTTTAAAAATTACATTTGTCCTTAGAATCTACCTAAACAGCTGGTATTGCAAAACAAAACACATGCTAACTTATGTGTGTCCACAACAAATACTCTTTCTTAGACCTCCCAGGCGAATGCAAAGTACCATATTAAACTAAACTAAGTTTGCTATGTATTCGGTTCACATCATTCCTAGCTGGGATTAGACTAACACAGTCCCTCTGCTGAATTAGCTGAAAAAAAAGTACATAATTGGAACAGGTATACTACAGTTTGAATGCTTTTGTCCCCTCCAAAACTCATGTTAAAACTTAATCCCCAATGTAACAGTGTTGAGAGGTGGGGCCTAATGGAAGGTGCTTAGGTCATGAGGGCTCTGCCCTTATTAATAGGTTAATACCACTATAAAAAGGGCTTGTGACAGTTTGCTCTCTTCTACTCTTCTGCCATGTGAAGAACAGCATTCCTCCCCCACTCCAGAGGATGCAGCATTTAAGGCACCATGTTGGAAGCAGAGAAAGGGCCCTTACCAGACACCAAACCTGCTGGTGCCTTGATCCTGAACTTCTTAACCTTCAGAATGGTGAGAAATAAATTTCGGTTCTTTATAAATTACCCAGTCTCAGGTATTCTGGTTTAGCAGCATAAAATGGACTAAAACAGTGTCGTATCAGAAAAAAAAATTTACACCAATCTTGAGTATTGGAAGAAAAAGGTAAATCCCTACCAGGTAGGGATTAGAGTGATGTGGGAACATTAACGATAGCCAAAATACTAATCCTCTTCTCTTTTTCTTTTTTATCTTCCCAAATAATTGCTTACCTAATAAACTGTTTTTCCTGGGCTGGCTGGTTAGCTTAGTTGGTTAGAGCACGGTGTTGTAAACTGTTTTTCCTAACATATCAATTTCATTTCTTTTTGCCGAATCAAAAATTTGAAAAAAAAAAAAAAATGCATTTAGAAGTCATCAGTGGAGATTGAAGAAAGGGTCTAAGTTAAATATTTCCACCCACAGATGATTTCTAGACTCTTTCAATTGCTCATCCCTCACAATGTTAAGTCAGATCATGTTATTTCTCTGTTCAAAACTTTTCACTGCCAATCTATCTGACTCAAAGTAAAAGTCAAAGGCCTTACAGAATTGGCTCACCTGTCCTCTCTCCCGTGCTCACCAACCCCCACACCCACCTTCCTCCCTCCAGCCTTCATGTCTACTCTCTGTACTCATTCCACTTTGGCCTCCTGGCCTCCTTGCTATGCCCTGATCATGCCTTAAGGTATGTGAATAGACACACAATAAATGTCTGTTGAGGAAAGAATGTGATAAAATTTTGTGGATTCAAGCAGGATGCCTAAGAACTAATTGCCTCGGGGAAAGGTATTATGATTTGATGCTGACATCTTGCTCCTAAGTAAAGAATCTGTGTAAGTTCCTGAAATTGTTGATGTACCAATTAATGTATAACATACTGATTTTAAGTGAAACAGTGAGCTGTTTTTTTTTTTTTGTTTTTTTTTTTGTCTTTTTCCATGTCCGGCAAAGGATCGCAACCCTCAGTGTCGCCCCCGTACCGGACCGGGACCGGCAACGGGATCGCAACCCTCGGTGTTGCCCCCGCGCCTCGCTCAGCCAGTGAGCGGGAACCGGTCTGTATGTGGGATCCGAACCCTCGGCGGGAGCGCCGCCGCGCTTCCCAAGCGGCGCACTAGCGCAGTGCGCCACCGGGCCGGCCCCGAGTGAGCTGTTTTTGAGAGTAGCTGAGGCATGAAGTTCACTGACAGTTCTGCAGGTAGACATTTCTAGCCCATATGTTGTAACCTGTAGCCAATAATTATAACTTTTGTATTTTACCCACCAATGAAAATGGGATATTCCAGTATGAGGAGTCCCCAAACTTTCCCATAAAATCTTTCCAGCCTGTAATTGACTTTGGAGCACTTCCCAACTCTGTTGGCTTGTGTTTCCCAAGTCAATGCTCAAGCTTGGCTTTCAGTAAAGCTTTATGAAACGATTTCCATCTTGACAGCTTTGATTTAGGTCCATAGAATGCATGAACCAACAACAACAAGGAACTTGGTAGAGAATACATTTCTCCAGTTTACTGTTCAGTGTTCTACAGAAACGTAAGTCCCTCTTACAGTTGAGAGTTGACGACAGTAACATAAAAATTATAGTCTTTTTTTGAGCTACTTAGTTTTGTTGAGTTTCAATTATGAATAAATTTTGAAACATGATTTATTCACCCTAACTACAACTCACCTTACCCAGCAGAGCAAAAATATCATTTCCATCTTGTAATCCCTCTTCAAAATACTTTAATGCCTTTTTAGTATAAGGTTCTTTTCCTCTTGTAATATCAAACCACGCTCTCAAAACCTGTCCCTGTAAAATAAATAATTCTAATCATACTTCCATTATTTTTCAGAAATGAAAGAAATGTTGATGAAAGAGCTAACTTCAATGTCTTTTTAAAGTAATTAATAACAAAAAGGACTCTATAAAATAATGTTATGAACAAAAAAATTCTGTGCAGTAAAATTGCTTTTGAGCCAGTCTAGAGTCTTGGGGACTATATTATGAATTTCAGCCTTTAAGATCATTATTGGGCTAAATATTAGTAGTAAGAAGCTTGTCAAATACCCCATCAATGCTAAAACCAATATTCTTCTCTGATAAAGTTTCTTCTCTGAAACTTTGCTAGTAAATTATTATTAATAATTGTTAAACAGGTAATTCAATATATAAATAAAGATATGTTGCCTATTTGTGGGCAATCAGACCAAATGAAGTAAGGAAGAAAAACAGGAAGATGTCTTGCTTCACATATATTAAAGATTCAGATAATCTGGCAACTATCTTTTTAACCTCTGTGTCTAGTTCATTGAGTTTCAAATGAAAGGAAAAATGGACTGAGAAATTAAAAACTGAAGAAGTCATGGACATCTACCTTTATAAATGTGGGTGGACCAATGGGTTAGGATATGTAGGATTGGAAAGAACATGGAAACTGATGGTTTATTTCTCTTTTTAAGGTCAAATAAAAAATTAAGAAATATGCTGTTCTATTAAAAGAGGTCTAGGTGAATTCATAAATTTATAAACCTTTAACTAATATTAATATTTACCTCCCAGTATTTCCAGCCTGTAACATACTGGAAATACCTACTATTTCACCTGAAAATACAGATAAGAATCTTAACCAATGTCACTTCCACTCACTAGATCAGTGTCATCTTAATGGTTTCAACTACTGTCACTGTATGGATGATTTCCGACCTATATTTCTAGACCAAAATCTCTTCTAAATTTTTCTCTTCTTTTCCAAATACTCATCTGCCATCTCCACCTCAGTTCTGCCAGCACCTGAGATATAGCATGCCCTAAGACAAATCACCTCCTTCCAGAACTAGCATCTCATCCTGACGTGTTTTCTGTTCATGTTAACTCCTGAATTATTGAGGCTTAAAACCTCAGACATCCCTGAGATATAACACTTCACTATCTTTCCCCAACTATTTATTTTCAGTTGATAAGTCCTATGGGTATTTAATATTGCTCAAATGTGTACTCACTGTGCAATATTTTGAGAATAGTTCATCAAAACTTTTTCCCAGAAAGTACCACTTTTTTTTCCCTGCATTCTAGTTTTTCCCCATGCCATTTCATCCTACGAACTACTGTTAAATAAATTTAGATTTGCACTCCCCTCATTAAAAACCTTCAATGGCCTCTCAATGCCTATCAAATAGATATAAATATTTGTATCTAGAAGTCAAGATCCTTCAATTTGTTCCAATCTGCCTCTCTAAGCTTTTCTTCCACCCTCTTCATTTATGTGTGCTGTGTTCCCATCAAATGTGAGGTTCTCACTGCACCCAGAATCAACATGTCTCATTTCTATCTACTACTTGCCCCCTAGGAGTATCTAATTCCCTTTTCCATAATCTTTCATGTTTTAGCTCAAATGCTACTTCCTTCATTCCCCTAACATTTATAGATGTGGTCTCTCCTGAACTTAAAATATTGTGTAGCACAAAGTAAGCATGAAATTAATGTTAGCTTCAATTTTCTTGTGCATTTCAATCACATCTCTCTCCTATCATAGATAATTTTTCTCACAATCTTAGCTGTATGTGTTCTATGCCATTACTTGATGATTCATTCTGAAAGTAAAGCATAGGTATTCTTTAAGTGCATATTATTAACAACACAAGCAATGGTCCCTTGTATCTAAAGCTGTTCAATAAGGAGAGAGAGAAGGAAGTAAAGCGATAAGGAGGGAATGAGAGAGGAGGAAAAAGCAAAGAGAAAAAGTGAGGGAAGGAATCAGGATCTTTTCAAGAGTTAATAGCATAAAAATAAACAACCTTAGGGAATGCTTATTTTATCATATAATAAAATATTAAAACAAGGCTATTATTTATAAAGTGAGAATAGAGTAGACAATAACAAAGAACTAAAGAGGCTATTGAATATATAAATAAATTAAGCTTCCTTTAATATTATTTCAAAATAAGAAAAACAGCTACCTCTTTACTACCATTTGATATTCTGATCATTCTGTCAATATATTCTCTTGCTTTCTCATGGCGACCAATATGCCATAAAAATAGGCCTGCATGGTATAAAGCTTTATGTCCAGCTCCTTTACGTTGCTCCTTCACTCTGGCATCTGATTCCAGAATAGCTTCTCTGTCTGGGAGGGGAAAACAACATTAAATGAAAATTAAACTTAGATCAACAGTTTATAATAGGTCAGGTGATTAATAGGGCAAAGAATTTAGTTCTTCTCTCTATATTAGCACTGTCTAATAGAAATAAAATTCAAGCCACATATGTAATTTAAAATTTTTTAGTAGCCCCATCAAAGAAGTAAAAAGAAACAAGTAAAATTAATTTTAATAACATTCATTTAACCAAATATATCCAAAATATTATTTCAATACATAATTAATATAATAACAAAAGACTTGGCATTCTTTTTCTTATAAAATCTTTGAAATTTGGTGTGTATTTTACACTTACAGCACATCTGAATTAAGATGCTAAATTTTCTTCAGACATACTTGATTTGTAGGTAGATTTCATAAAATTTGTAGCTAAAAAGCAGATACATATACTCAAGTTATTCCAAGCACAAATTTTCTAATAACTGAATCAAGTATCACTTTTAAATTTAAAAAGTATAACTTTTCAGCCAGATTTCCATCACATCCCTAATGGGGCATCAGTTAGCTGGGGATTATCTGCACAAAGTTGATTGTTGCCAGGTCTCTATTTGTCTTTTTATAATTATGGCCTATACAACATTCAGAAAGAATGTACGCTAACAATCTAGGCCTTTCCTAGGCAATATATACAGACATCTAGGTCCCTACTAAATCTCAAGTCCATTTGGTATCATCTACTGTGGAAAACAGATGTCTCTAAATAATATTTCTGTCTCCATCTTTTCAGCATCCTGGAAATCACATTTCCCAACAGAATCAATAGTGCTGGGAACAACCAATTAAATGAAAACTTGCTTGTAGAAAGAAAATATTTTTTACTAATTTCTTTCCTTTAGGCTTATTGACTACAGTTCTCCTATGTAAATTCTCTGCTCCAGCTAAACACATGCCCACTGGAACACAGAGAAAGGGGATCTGTAGAAGATCGTAAGCCTGAACCACTTCCAAGTATTTGCCCATCCATTTCCTGTCTGGCCAACACTCTTCATATTCAAATTCCACCTATCCTTCAAAGACCAGATTAAGTCCTGATCTCTCACAAAGCCTTCCCAGCTTACTCCTATGGATTAATAGTACATACCAATTTCAATTAATTATGGATTCACTGGTTTCTCTTTTTTAAAAATCATTTTATTTAATAGTAACATTGGAATTTACTCATTGTAAATTTTGTTTTTTCAACTAGATTATAAACTGATGTCATGGATCACTTAATACAATTTTTTTGTATCTTCTAATTGTATATGACATCCTCCCTTGCAGAAAGAAAGCACATAATTGTTAATTTGTTTACTTTAAATAACTTTTTATTGATTTGTGCCTGTGTGGAATGAAGGAGGTATGTGATACTTTGCTTAAAAGTTCTTTTCTGACATTTAAAAAACTACTCTATGACATTTGTTTACTGTCTAATTATTTGAAACAGGATCTATATTTACAATCCTATTAGTTATTGCTGAATATACATATATATATATTTCAGAATATCCTATAATTTGGATATTCTTCTGCTTCAGCAGTAAGTAACACTATACGCTAAGACAGTTCACACAACTTTAATTGCTGGCTTATGCATAAGGATCCTTCTATAATCTAGTCAAATTTCTCAAACTGTTAATGGATAAAATTTACTGAATATCTTCCAAGAGCTAGCCCCCATGGGGGATGTAAAGGCCTTCAAGAAGCTTAATATATAGAAAAGATAAACTGCATATAGCTTTATACAGTACTTGCACATAACAAGTTGTAAAGTTGGCTGTTGCAGAGCAATTTATGTATATACCTGTTTCTTTGGCTGCCCTTTTCTTGTATAACAATTGATGATAACATTCACCTTTAAGTTAACTCAATCCTTATGTGCAAATAGAACCTCTTCCATAGAATAGAAGAAATATGAAAGTAGTATAGGACATGTTTCTTGTGCTTGATGAATTTCTAATCTGGTCAAGAAGATAAAACTTATACGATATATATATATATATATATATATATATATAGTAGTACCTATAGACAATATGTAATACAGTATGATCAGACTGAATGTTATGGTAACTGAGAAAAATCAAAATAAATAGAATAGGATAAATTCTCCTAAGCATTGTACTTAAATACTATACCTGGATTAGGACTCATTTTATGGGCGTATATCAGTGCAATTAGAGAACAAAGTGACACATCTTGTTTATTTTTAAGAGCCTCAAATTCTCGAAGAGCTTCTTGAATCTTACCTGAAAATCAAGATTATGACGTGAGAAAAACTGTTCTTAGCACAAAGCAAGAATTTTAAACTTATGGAACATGTTTAATAATTAGCACATACCTTCCATTAATGTACCATAGGCATGATAAAACCTGAAGACTGGGTCACTGCCATACCTCTTAATTCCTTCACTGGCAACAAGTAACACATGATGGAAATATCTCTCTTGACAATAGTAATTAATCAATGTCTAAAAGGAAATAATGACTAAATGTTAAAAGAGATTTTGGTATTCTGAAATACTTTAAGCAGCAGGTATTAATCTGAAATCTGGAATAATCTAAAGCTTAGGTAATGTGATTTTTTTTCTTAAGTTCATTAAAACAGTATTAAAGGTGAGTGCTACTCAATACTGAAGACTTAAAAACAGAATGAACACAAAACTATTGAAATAATTCAATGTTTTCTAATAATTTCAATCATTTTTCCTAAACTTTTTGTTAACAGTACTGCAATCAAGCTATTTACACCTCTTTTCTTTTTTCCACATTTTCTTAAAGGTTTTAGAAAACAGGAAAACAATCAAACAACAGGAATAAAAATAACAGGAAAAAAAAAAAAAAAAAAGACAAGAGGCTTCCATTGCCAGACCATAGGTTTCTTTAAATAAAAAATCTTTTTAAATAGCTATTTTGTTATTATAGCATTACCAAGTAATGATAAATTAAACTCAGCAATTTACGTCAAATGTTATCTTACTTGTTTTCTATGTGAGTTCTACAAAAAATAATCATCAGTAAAATAAACTTTTTCAATGGAAATGACTTTAAGTCCTTTTCTCAAAATTATATTATTACAATTTGTAAGACAGAAAACTGCTGTCAGGAGACACTAAGTTCTGATTAAATGGACCTGTGCTTTACACCATTTTTCTCAGGATCATATCTAAGGCTTGACTGCTGACTCAATTAAGGAGGGAAGCCACACTTTCACCACAACTATGACACAGATGATTCACCTCCAGAAACCAGTTTGGGCCATCCCATACCTACCTACTGTGACTCTCCGGCTGGTTCAGCAGGAATAAGAAATATGGATGAAGTGCTGATTGACAGGACTGAAATACAAAGATGCCTAGACAGCTCTGTTTCACAGTTTATTGTTTCTGGAGTGCTACAGTCCATGTCCTCTAGATCAGTTAGGCAAATGTTCTCTGTAACTTTTACTCTGCTTCCCGCCTTGTGGTTACTACTCTTTATTCCCCTTCTTAGTCACGTTTCTTGAAAGTGTGGTCCACATCCCATCTCCCAGACCTCTCAAAGCACATCTCAATAAACTGCAGCCACTCTCTAAGGTTGCAAATGATCCCTTGTTGGCCAAAACCAAGGACACTTTTAATACTATCTTACTTGACTTCTGTCTAGCATTTAGTATCACTCAGCACCAAAAATCCTCCTGAAAAGCAGTGGCATGGTACCATAAAAAGGACATGGATTCAAAGGTGAAAGACCTGGTCTCAAGTCTTTGGTCCACTTTACAGTGCCTCAGTTTGCTCATCTGTAAAATGCTGTTAGTTGTTAGTAAAGCAAATTTATAAGTCGTTATGAGGATTAATTAAGAAATCATAGGGTAAAATTCCTATTCTTGGGGGAAAAAAAATAAAGTTCCTCCAAACTCTATATGTTTGATGAAATAAAAAACAACCTATCCAGCCAAGACCTCCCATCTAAGCTTCAGATTCAGACATACAGGCTTTCCATTTGCCACCTCCCACTCAAGCCAGAAATTGAGTCATGGAATCCTCCCTTCCCACTTGCTCAGTCCCCCTGAGTCTAACAGTCATTAGGTTCTTCTATTTCTCTAGTCTACCTCTCCATACCTATTTCCTCTGCCTTAGTTCAGGTTAGGTTGTTTAGTTCAACAAAGTCCCTGTCCCAGAAAAGTTTCCATTTTTTCAGGTGAGACTGTAATCTAAAGACTAGCTGAAATACAATGTAGTAAATGTAAGAAAAGAGTTTATAATCTGCTTTGGGAATGTAGGATAACAACATTTAGACAGCCTTGTTAACTGAGGGTGGGGTGGGGGAGGAAGGAAGGGTAAAATTAAGGAAAAGATTCTTGGGGAGGATTTCAGAGCTGACTCTTGAATTGCAAACCCCTCACTCTTCCTTCACACACACACCCTTCCTATTTGTTTTCATGATTCTAACGAAGGTATAGGAGTTGCATGCCAGGCAGAGGAACTGCAACAACACACAAATAAGAAATAAGCAGTGGCACGTGGGGATGACAGTGATGATGGAGAGGGCTAAAAGCCATTCCATGTTCTAGAGCTGGGGGTTGGCAAACTACAGCCTGTGGGCCATATCTGGTGGGCCGTGCTGCCTGTTTTTGTACGGCCAATGAGCTAAGAATGGTTCTTATATTTCAAATAGCTGGAAAAAAAAAAGAGGAAAAATATTTCACAATGTGAAAATTATATGAAAGCCAAATTTCAGTGTTCATAAATAAAGATTTATTGCTACACAACCATGCTCATTTGTTTAAGTATTGTCCATGGCTGGTTTCAAGCTACACTGCAGCATAGATGTGACAGAGACCCTATGGCCCACAAAACCTAAAATATGTACTATCTGGCCCCTAAGGGAAGTGCTATTCCTTGTTCATGGTGCTTAAAAAAGACAGAAAGTACTGGATGATGAGATTAGACAGGATGGTAGGGTCAAGAACAGTCTCATCTTAAAGACTTAAACTTGATGAGGAGCCACATGTAAGACAGAAGAATAATGTAAAAACTCAGGCCAAAAAACAAGACACGAGCACTCCCTAACCTCCTGCACTGCCAACTGTCCTTCATCCACGACCACCATCTCGCAGGGTACACATTTTATTCATCTTATTGTCTGACACTTCCTCCTCAAATGCAAGCTCCAAGATTGAAAGGTTTTTTCTTAGTTTTATTATTGCACATCTGCAGTGCTTAGAATGCTGCCAGATACACAGGAGGCATTCAATAAACATTTGTTGAATGCATTAAGGTTTTTCTCCAGCATCAGACTAAGATCTGTGAAGGCAGGGACTGTTAAGTTCTGCTCATCAGTATTTCCAGCTTCTAATGGATATACTTTGAGCCCTCCATAAATATTTGTTGAACGAGTAAATCAGTGAACAAATGAATAAAGACCATCATCTGAAAAGGAAACATCTTTTATTTTCAAGTCTCTTGTCTCTGTTTTATATCATCATTTAAGTGGACGGTGATAAAGCACATGCTGAATGAATTGATTAGTGACAAACAGAGAACACCATCACCCTAAAATCAAAGACTCCTCCACTTCTAAGCCTCGTGTCTTTAACTGGTTTCCTATAGTCTATCCGTGCTCCTTCTGCTGCCCAGTGGAAGAGCTGACTCTAGTTTGTTGTAGGTACTTAAACATCGCACCTGGAGACGCAGTGTCATAGGCTACTCGAGCCTTCTAGGAAACACGATGCAAAAGTAAAAATAAACACAACAAACAAGGTGGGGACGAGCTCTCTAACGGCAACTCAAAAAGCAGTGCGTCGGGAGGGCTGGCCCGGACCTCAAGATTCCAAAGTGGGGCCCACGGAGGCCGACCAGGTGATGTAAGCTACGGGCCCACCCTGCCAGGCTGGCGGCAGCCTACGAGCCGGGGCAGCGAAGGCACAAAGGGCAGTACGGCCTCCCGAAGGCCACCGAGCTCTCTCCACGCCCCCCAGCCCACCGCCCCCCATCAAAGCAACCCGCGTCCGGCCCCCGCCTGGTCACCTTCAGCTCCTCCGAGTCCATGGCTGCCCCCAGGCCGAGCTGCAGGGCTGCAGGGGTCCGGACGGCGCGGGTCGCAGACCAGCGGAAGAGCCAGGGGCTCAGGGCCCCGCCGAGGCCCCAACCCCACTCGGGCTCCGGGCCGCGGCGGGGAGGGCGGGGAGG